CCCTTGCCAGCCGTTTAAAGGGCGGGTATCCGAGGATACCCGCTCGGATACCCGCTAAGGCGGGGGGATATCCGCCAGGGGATGCGGATGCGGGTGCGGATGCCGCTTTCCCCGGAAAAAGCAACCGGATATCCGCATCCGCGCGGATATCCGGATGCAACACAACCATCTCTAATCGGAACCCTAATGTTGCATCGGACTGGATCAGGGCCCTGACAATTGGGGGTGCCCAAATTATCGATTTTCCCCAGAATTCATACTTTTTTCATTTTTTTCATTTGCACTTCATATTTATGTCTAAGCTGATCCCTCTTGTGAAGGGGGAGAGCCAGAGACCATGGATTTTTTTTAATGGAAATTGGAATGGTTTGTTTGTGCAAAGTTAAGAGGCATAAAATTAGTTTCTTTTTTCTCCTCTCTGACTAGACTTACATATTTGAAAAAAGAAAAAGAAAAACTATTGGAATACAAGCTTTAAGGACAGTCATGGTTGCTACTGTCAGTCAAGGAAGCTTGGGCTTGGTGGGGCAAGGGAGGGGCAGACCTAGGATTGAGGAATAGAAATAGGATAATGTATTTCATGAGCATGTGAGAAAGAAAAGGAGATTGGAAGAGAATGATGAGAAAACAAAGGAGAAAAGATAAACACCTTTAAGGACAGTCACCGTTCCTATGGTCAGTCAAGGAAGCTTGGGCTTGGTGGGGCAAGGGAGGGGCAGACCTAGGATTGAGGAATAGAAACAGGATGAAGAAGAAAAGAGAAAGAGAACAAAGGCTGAAACAGAACTAGGAAGAAAGTACAACATATGTCACAGGCGACATGTCACAAGCTGTTACTGGAATTCTCATTATTCCCACAAAAACAAAAATCTTGGAGCAGATAAGAGAAAATGCATACATCCTAGGTGTGTATATATGGTATCCCAAAAGTATTGGAGTGTCAGCTCACAAAGGAGTTGCTGATCTTCATTCCAAAGGTGAAAAATCTTTGATACAAACATTAGATATAAGCCGTCTGAAAATCGGTCACTTGTGTTAACATCAAGACCTAAAACCAGGCCAACAGAAAATGTCTGACTCGTAAATCTTTGGGTGCATACTTCACACATTTTTGGTTTAAAGAGCCCTTGCATGAGATGATCCTGAGAATCAGACTGGCAGGATAAGACATCATTGTTTTCTGAACGGTTGCTCAAGACCTTGAAATCCCTAGCTTGCATTGCAAAGCCACCAGGACTGCAAACAGATCCCACATTTGCAACACCATATGGACTTGGAGTAGAGTCAACGGTGCAACAGATACGAGACATGTATTTTTATTGGATCATATCGTCTTTATTTTGAGCCTGATACAGGTATCAGCATTTTTTTGGTTGGTGAAAAAAATCCATTGTCTCAGATTTGGATTTACAAATGAAAAAAATTGTCTTTGTTGTTTTTGTTTTTTCTTCAATACAGCCAAATATCTTGTGTATCAAATACGTTTTTGGTGGGATCAGTCATCTGAGGTGATACTGAATACTTGTCTCACTTTCCAAAGACGATACATGTGTATTGTCTCAGGAAAGTGAGACAACACAAATCCGGTATTTTTGGGTATTCAAATTCTGAGACGATACAAATAAACGCCTGATACCGTATTGTATCGTACCTGTTTCACCGTTGGTAGAGTGTCATGTGTGGTTCCTTCCTTTCACTTTCCTCTCACATCTTGCAAGATTTATGTATGATATAGTTGTTCAACTTCACATGTCATGTATTCATTTTTAGTCTGTGCTTTTCACCTTTCACTCACATGTCACACTATTCTAGTTACATTTGGGGCTGATGTTGTGCAAGAGTTTGTCCCTCATCCTTTCACAACCATCACACCCCCAGGTACATTGTTTTTTGGTTTTATCTCTTCTCTCTAGTGATGATTATTATCCCATATATTCATCTAAAATAAAGGGCCTTGATAAAAAAAACAAAATTTTTCCACATTTTGGAGCGGTTTTGCAGCAGCGCAGTGCTGTCGAGATGTGGTTTCCGTGTTTTGACACGTTTTTTTAATTAATTTTTTACACCTTATTTTTATTAATTTTTTATATTGTAAAGTTGTTTCCTACATTATAAAATGTGTAGAGTTTTATAGCATAATCCAATTTCCATAAAAATCAACGGTTCATTTTTAATACTGCAATCAGACACTTTTTTCAATAAATTCTTTACATCTTATTTCTCAATATTTTTTGACATTTTAAATTTATTTCCCGTACTTTTAGACATTTCAAAAATGATGGTAATAATCACTTTGCATGAAAATAAAACCTCTATCTTGAATATTGCATTTGACATGGTTTTTTAATTAATTTTTACAGGCTTAGAGCAACCGCATCGGTGCAGGTGTAAGTTGAGGAGTAGCGGATTAGCTTAATCCTGGATTACGGCTACTCCGGGTCATCAACTGCAGCGGTGTGGTGTAAACCTGGGAGTAGCCAGGGGTTGCATGTGTGTTTTGTATGCAAATGGCCCTTAATTCCAGGATTAGTGAGGAGTAACTTTACTCCTACGTAGCTCTAATCCTACTCCGGAGTGGAGTTTAGTCTGATTACATTGAAACCAATGTGGTTGAGGACTTGGATTACTTACGCTAATCCACTCTTAATCCTTGTTCAATGCGGTTGCTCTTAGGGGCTTGGTCGAACAACTCCCAAAAACTGGAGAGCCGGCTCCCAAGCCCCCAGGCTTATTATTCATTATTTTTTTGAATTTTAAATTGTTTTCTTACATATTGAGAGGTTTAAAAATTTATGGTCTTATCCATTTTGCATAAAAATCAAAGTATTACTTCTAATATATGAGCTTACCCCATTTCTTGCATAATTGTTACCCAATACAAGTTTTATTTCTATGTAAAATGGGTAAAACCATAAATTTTTAAACCTCTCAAGATGTAGGAAATCAATTTAAAATTCCAAAAAATAATGAATAATAAGAGGACCCAGTAAAGATGGCCTTGCGGTACCCGGGACCCGTTGGTGGGTACCGCCTTCACCCCTCCGGTACCCGCCAAGTGGTGCCGGGTGCGGTACTCAATGCCTGCTTTTGGGCAAAAAAGCAGGCGGTACCCTGGTACCTTTAAGGGTACCCGCCCCCAAACCCCCTCCTCGGTGGCTTGAACAAGACTAACTGGTCTCGTCCAGGTTGCTGGAGAGGACCCCTCCTCGGCAACCTGATCAAGACCAATCAGGTCGCCGGTAAGGGCCCTCCTTGGCGACCTGATTGGTCTCAACCAGGTTGCCTGGAAGAATCTCCGGTAGCCAGGTGGTACCCGTCATACTTGAGCGGGTGCGGTACCCGGTGTCCGTTTTGGCCAAAAAAAGCAGTTGGTACCCGGGTATCAACGGGTACCCGGGTCCCATGGGCCCATCTTTAGGACCCAGGAAACCCCCTATAAAAGTCAGTAACCAAAATGTATGAATTTTTTGGCAAAAACCCAAAATGATACTCACCAAAAGTGTATGAATCAGCATTTTGGGGCAAAATTTTACTCACCTGAAATGTATGGAATTTTTGGGGAACAATGTAGGTTAGTAACCAAAAATGTATGATTTGTTATTATTATTATTATTATTTTTCTTTTTTGCAGCCCCCCCCCCCCCCCCCCCCCTCCTGCCAGTGACCCATCATGTCACCCCCCGTTAAACTTTTAAAACCCCCATCAGATTTTTTCAACACCCCTGTCAGTTTTTGGCAAAAAAAATTCCTAAGAATCATCTCTCTCAAATTAAAGAAAAAGTTGATGATAGTTAATAATAATCATAAGTTCCTCCCACTACATATACTGTATGCAATGGCCAATATTTCTTGATTTTTGCATTTTTCAAAGCCCCAGTTGCTAGCAGGAATGACTAGCTGTAAAGAAAGTTTGGCTATGTGCTCCCTGGCGGGCAAAAATGGTACAGACAAAAAATATACAAAATTCTAACCTGCAGCCAAAAAAAAAAATGGTAGGCACAAAAATTGTATGAAATTTTTGGCAGACCTCTGAGCCTAGGCACAAAACATGTATGAATGAGTCCCAAAAATGAATGAATTTTCTGAAAATCTGGGATTTTACGTTACTGACATCTACAGAGGGTTTCCTGGGTCCTATAATAAGCCAGTAAAAATTAATTAAAAAGCCATGTCAAATGCAATATTGAAGAAAGAGTTTTCATTTTCACGCAATTTCAGCGGCTTGTGGCATGCCATTGGGTGTGCCCTTTTACATATGTGGCGCCAACAACCAGATCTGGTTTTCACCGCTCCAAGTAGCTTGTGCATAAATTGTGCATCCTCATCAAAGACTATTTTGTCTTATAAATGAGCTAGGAAATGGAAAAGGCCTGTGACTCAATGTAGTTGTGGCCATTGAGCTCATGTAATCTGGACTGTTGCAATGAAAGAATAAAAATGAAAAAAAAAACTTGTGAAAAATAAAAAATAGAATTTGTATTTTTCAAAAGCTTTGATATTCCTTTTGGGGGAGTGAGAGTGCTTAGAGGAAGAAAGATTGGAACATGAGAAGAATGATTATAAATGAAAACTTGGGAAAAATGGTTTCCAGATGGATTCAAACAGCTGTTGAGTGAGAAAGTCACCAGCCCATGTTACAGTGAAGAACTAGAATTTATTGTTTTGACTGCAATATGGTCAACCAACCTGGCTCAACCTTCTTTGGTTCGATTTTTTTTTCTCATTCATAATAATTCTTCCCATGTTCCATTCTTTCTTTCTCTCAGTACTCCCACTGGCCCAAAATGAATATCAAAGCTTTTGAAAAAAAAAGCAACTTTATCTTTGGGTCTTAGTTAAACAACTCCCAGAAATTGGAGTTCCAAATCCCAAATTTCTGGAACTCCAAAACCTTAAAAAGGTTTGGGAGTCGTTCCCCTAACAAAAAAAATGAATATGAATATGAAATATGTAAACAGAACCCATGGCCAAGAGGAATCCCTCTCGGCCACTGAGAGTATATGATCTCAACGGCCAAGAGGAATTTCTCTTGGCCGGCTAGAGTTGTACACTCTCAGCGGCTGAGAGGAATCCCTTCCGACTCCCAACCCCCCTGGGGTTTGTGGCGAATCAACTCCCAAAACCCCCCAGGGGGGTTTATTTTTTCATTTTTTTTTATAAGGGGAACGACTCCCAAACTCTTTGAAGGTTTTGGAGGTCTGACTCCCATGGACGTCCTGAGGAGTGTCTACAGATGGTCCTCTTGACATCCCAGGAATTTGGGAATTGGAACTCCAATTTCTGGCAGTTGTTTAACTAAAGTAAGACCCTTATCTTTTATTTTTCACCAATTTTGAAACTTTTAAATATTTTTTTCAGATTAATTTTTTTGGGACCTATTCTGCACCACTTGACCGGGTCTCATGACTTCAAGGTGTTGGAATTTTGCTTGACCTCTCTCTCCATTTTTCTCAACATGTCACTCTTTTTCGTTATGTCACTCCTTTTTTATATTCATTATGCATAAGTGTTTGATCCCACAACTTGTGCTCTTTGTATCTAGAATACTTAACCATGACCGGATACTGAGATAATGAAAAAATCAGTTCTTACTATTTTTAACTGGTCCTAAGAGGACACTTTAGCCTCCTCCTAGCCTTTGTCAATTGCACTTAAGCCCAATTGACTAAGTACAAAAATAACCAATCTCAGACTTCTGTCTGCTTTTGGCATCACCGACTTTTCCCCTCATCGACTTAAATTTCATCACAAGGTTGTGTGTTAGAGCTCTGGGATCCAATGTAAGCAGCGGCTTTTCACTGTATACTATACCCACTGCACCAAATCTTGTTTTTTTTTTTTCTTCTTCATTCAGTTTGATTTTTCAGTCTCAAGTTGTCCCACACAATCAGGTGTGTTTGCTTATCAGCTCCCAACTCGTGCAGTTTCAAAAAATATTTGTTCTTCATTATAAGGTGTGCTTGCTTTGTCTCAATCAGCTCTCAATTCCTGAAGTGTCTAACACTTTAAGTTCTATATTGGGCTCTGATCAGATATTGATTGTGGAAGGGGATTGAGTTGATTTTGTGCATTGGAGTGAATGAAGGACGGAAAGTGTGATATTACTTACCGGATAGGGAGAAATCTTTGCAGCTGTGGATCACAAGGAAAGACTGGGAAATTAAGAAGTAAATCATTTTATTGTTGAATTAGGTTCAGAAGCATGTATGTCAGATTCCAATTTTTTTTTGTTTTTTTATCTCTATTTCTTTCCCGTTTTTTCCCATCTCTTGTCACACCTCAACACACTACTTTATTTTCTCTTTGTCCTGTCTATCATTGCCTGATCCCAGGATGTACCACTCTGTTCAATGCTGTCATTCTGGTGTATCTCAGGCCCATTTTCATTCTTTTATTTTCTGTTATTTTCTACTTGATCATGTGGAAAAATATCCTTGGTCAGTAAATTGTATACCCCGATTCACCAGCCCAAGATTATTTCTTCTTTGGCATTGATCAAAGCCTCAACTTCCAGGAAGTAGTACAGGTTCAGGAGGAGACCTCTTCATAGGTAGCCCACATCCAAATATGCAAGCAGGTTTGAAGAGAGCAACCCAACAACATCCTCCTCAGCATTGAGTGTGAGGAAACAGATACCAAAGACAAACCATCAAGAATCTGGCATCACTATATAATATTGGTCCTGTGAGCATTGAGATATCGGGCCATGATCTGGACATCCGCCAATCCGTGGGAGCTGTGTTTTTTGTTTTCCAACCGCTCCTTAATATAGCCTCTAAAATCCTTTTCAACCTGTCAGCGAAGATTGTCAATTCTTTTTTTTTTCTGAAAGCTAACTTTGGATACAACATGATGTGAATATGCACATTGAACACTGCCAGATCCAGAAAGGCTGGGTTGTCTCTCCCACCAAGATTTGGAGAACACACCTGATTGGGCTGCAGACTCAGTCCACATCATCATCATCATCAACAAAGGAATAGCCAATCTGCAGGTAGGCTCAGCTAGGTTCAAAGATACCCCCACTGAGCAAAACAGCAAGAACATTCAACTCCGCTTTGGCAGCCTCACATCCATCCCAATATTATCCACTTTTTTTGGGACCTCCCTTGCTCCTCCTCCTCCACAAAGGGAAATCTATGTAAAAGCTTGAGATGATGGTGCTGATGAGGTTTTTTTGTCTTTTTTGCTCAATGTTAATATGATCTCAGCAGCAGCTGATCAGGCCTGAACAATGAGTTGGTCACATGCGGTTTTTTATACAATACATTTTGCAATATTACACTTGTACTGAGACTGAGACTAGCAGATGATTGGCCTTATGATTAAGACAATCAATGGACCAATTCGAATGAAGGGGGGGGGGGGGGAAACACAAACAGAAGAGCACTGATCATTACCTTGATAGTCCGGGGAACATCTACTACGGTTTCAGGGCTACAGAATCCATGCCAAAGCTACTTCTTCATCATCAAGCTTTGGTCTTTAAGTTTCAATTACTTATTTGTGTTGTGTATTTGGATGTGTGGGTTTATGTGTGTCTCTGGGAAGAACCAAAACAAAAAAAAATACAGAATTGTAGGATGACCGGGAATAGAAAACCAACAGTTGACTCATTGAGGAAGAGGCCTCAAAACAACGCATCATCATTATCATTATCTACGTCCTTGTTTGCATGATCATTGACAGCTCTAAAAAGGAGCCTGTTGTCTTGTTTAGACTGTCACCACCAGCCCGAGAAGCCCAAAAGCAAGAAAGCGGGCGTGGGTCGATCAAGGGGATTTGCCAGGATGGGCATGCGGCTCGTCCAGGTCAGGGCCGGCGTCGAGGATGTGGAACTTGAACCCGGCCCGGCCGAAGCGGATCCATTCGCCCAGAGGATTGACCGCGGTCGGGACGATCGGACGTTTCAAGACGGGCTCTTCGCGATCCGAACCGGAGTCATCGATTTGCACAGCAAGAAAAAAAAACGAACAAGGGAGAGAGAGAGAGAAGGGCGAGCAAGAGAAGAGTAAGTCTCTCTCTTCCTCTCGTTTAGGAGATCTCGTGCACAGAAAGGAGAAAGGAGAGCAGGAGAAGGGCACTCAAACTGGGATCCTCTTCTTCCTCGACGACGATCTTGGAGCCTTCTCCAGGCTCTCCGCCAATGATTTCTCCCGCGAGCGAGCCGAGAACGGAGGCCGGTCCAGACTTGGCGATGGGCGCGGGGGGTGAAGGATCGTCGGCGGCGGGGAGATCCTCGGCTGGCGGGTCGGCCGGGGCCGGTTGCTCTTCCGCGGCTTCTTCATGGCCCCCCTGTTCCCCCTCCCCTTCGGCTTCCCCCTCCCCTCCGGCTTCCTCTTCCCCTCCGGCGGCGTCTTCTCCACCCTGCTCCCCCTCCCCTCCGGCTCCTTCTCCCCCCGGTTCCCCCTCCCCTCCGACTCCGTCTTCAGCCACGCTGGGAGGATCAATCGATTCCGGACGCTCGCTGATTGCCGAACCTGGGGACATCGTCTTCTCGACTACTACCTCCGATGGTGCCCGGACACTTCCCGCTGTCGTTCCTGCCCGCTTACTTCCTGCTAGAGATGCAGCTTTAGCAGCTCCTGAGATTGATCCTCCCGTCTGGCTCCCCATAATTGATGGTGCCTTGACCGTTCCCGCAACCGAGCCCGATCCAGGTGAGACCTCTGCCGCCTCAGATCGAGCCCGGATACTTCCCCCAGTCGTGCCTGCCCGTTTACTCCCCGCTAGAGATGGAGCTTTAGCAGTTCCAGCAGCCGATCTGAGATTGCTTCCCGCAACTGATGGTGCCTTAACGGTTCCCGCGATCGATGCGGCTTGAGCAGCTCCAGAGATTGATGGAGCTCTAGCGCTTCCGGCGACCGATTTTGTCTTCGGAGTGCCTGTGACAGATCCAGCCTTGGATGGTGCTTTGACGCTTCCGGTGGGAGCAGGATTCTGGGAATTCGCGCCAGCCGAGGGTTCGTGTTGGCTTGGTGCACGAGAGGGGTTGCGTGCACTAGGAGTGACGGATTGGGCGCGGTTACTGGGGGGAGCCTGCGAAGCACGATTACTGGGTGCGAGGGATTGGGTGCGGATGGTTGCAGGGGCGGAAGGTTTTGGGGCGGCCAAGGATTCGTGTCTACTGGCGACCGTCCGAGTCGAGCGTGCCTTTCCGCTGCCCGCCACCGATGCTGGCCCCGTCTGTCCGCCCATCCCATGAGAAGGCGCCTCAGACCTGCGGACTCGAATGCTGTCCATGAGAGAATGTGCACGCAGGCTGGCTGCGACCGAAGCTTCACCAAGCGATGGTCCTCGAGGATGGAGATGAGTCAACTGCTCGATTGTCGGTGAGAAGTGGCCCTCCCGGATACTGGCCGGCGGGGGGAGCGTACGACTGGGACTGCCGAAGGGTGCACTGAACTGGGATCCCCCACATTCCTCGCCTGCCAGCTCGCCCAATTGACTCTGCGTACCCCGGCCCAGCTGACTTTGTCGCGCTCGGCTTAAATCCCGGACCATCGCTGTCTCGGCTTCAGCCTCCCGGTCGTGGGCCCTGGATGCCCCGGGAGACTGCACGTAATAAGCCGGTGAGCATCTGGCTCCGTTCCTCGTTGCGTTGGTTGATGGACTCCACCAGACTTGCTAGCTCATCATCCTTCGGCTCACCGGCGTCCCATCGGGTCACTCGACTCTCGCAGTCCGCCGGTCGTGGCCAGGGCGCAACATCTGTTGCTTCTCAACATCAATGATTAGGAACCGATTTATTGGAACTACCTCAGTGTAGAAAGGCTTTGCTCACCCGGTCTTCCCGCCCCCGCCTGCGATCGATGTACACTATCTCTGGATAGGATTCGGTCACTCGTTTGATGTAGTCGAAGTGCTTCCTCTGCATAGAAAAAAAAGAACAGAATGTTTGATTTCTCTTCTCTTGAGGGTATGTATGCAGAAACGAGCCAACCTGTCAATGGTTCGGGGCCAGGTGGAACGGCCGGGGATTGATGAACCGACCAATGTACAGAGGGTGCACGACTATGGGAACGCTTGGAGGAAGCCACTGTTCCTACCAAAAAAAAAATGGAATCTCTGTGTCAGTATGTGCCACACGCTCCAAGGAGAATTTCGAGCTGACTTACGAGCAGGAGCAATGGGTTCCTCTTGGTTTACTCGTGCGGGAGAGGAATGACCTCGACAGGTGGATTGCTTGCGGGGAGTGTGAGTTGCTGAGCTGTGAGCTTGGTGGGGGAGACGGATGGGAGAGCAGACGGATCAAAGAGCGGGGATGATTTCATCTTCTGAGCCTTTCCCAGTCATAAACGCACACACTCGACGACAGAATCTGAAGGAGGAGGGGGAATATATGGGGGGTAGTGAATTACCAGTCGGGCGGTCCACTGGGGCTGAGGCAGTGTGGTCCGAAGGCGGCTGCGGAGGCGTGGGTCTTCGGGACGGAGAATGCTCGCCGGCTTTTGGTTTCAGAAAAAGACAATCAGTTCCCAATGAGCTGAAGTGGAGAACCGGGGGAAATGTGAATCTGGAGGCTGACTTTGTGTTGTTTTTTGGATGGAGGGTGTGGGTTCACAGATAGGGATACTTTCACTTAAACTCCGGATGTTCTCGGACAACTCGGAACCTATTTTTGATACTTATAGCAAAACCACCCCAGCTCGATCAAAATAAACAAACCAAAAAAACAAAAAAACCAAAAACAAACCCACCTCTCGCCAACACCCTGACGCTCACACCACCGACGCGCTCCTCTTTTCTCGCGCACGGTTTGGATCATCAGCCCTGTTCCAGTCACGGCTAGGAAGATATTGAGTCAGAGGTGACGAAAAGATGGAGGACAGGTAAGGTCTCTCAGAGATCACTGGGGAGCTCAGTGGGGTGAAATGGCTATGGGGTGTCCGACTGGGCAGCTTCCGCTCCTGCGGACTGTGTTGGCTGTTTGCGTGGCCTGTCGGCTCTTCCTGCTGATCCGTCAGATCTATCAGTGGGCGGCCTGGAGGAGGTGGGCACGGCACGATAGCCTTGAAGGGTCAGTTTAGTTTCCAAAAAAAAAAAAACAGAACCTGTGGAAGGACTGACCTGACAGATCCTCATTGAGTGAGTGATTGGACATGCAAGGTGAATCTGGAAGTTGAAGGGAGGAAGGAAGATCTCAATGTTTGTTGTTTGGTGACAGTGTGTATCTAGAGTAGGAAGATAGCGGATGAGGATGGAAGAGAGAAGGGATTGAGAAGATGAACTGAACCGTCTAAGAGGCTGTACAACAACAGAGAAGAGTTAGACTGGGGCAGCGGGTTCTCGAATGCACTGAAGTCAAACTCGGGTGGTGGAGATGGAGGTAGTTGGACCGCAGTGGGTTCGAGGGATAGCCTCCGTCTGAATGGCCGAGGAAATCTGATTTCAAGGGTTGGTTTGGGTGCGGGGGATGGGGGAGGCAGGAGTGGGTTTGGCTTTCCAGGGTAAGCTTGTGGTGCAAGACCGGTTGGCGAGGGGCAGGAGGGCAAACTGAAGTGAGTGGTGGGAGTCGTGCTCGTAGATGGGTCGGAGGGTAGTGGAAGATGAGGATGCTGATGCTGATGATGATGACGAGCAGAGGGGGAGTTCAAGCAGTGCTGATGCTTTGTTGTAGGCTGACTGGAGCCGAGGGTGGGACTACTGACCGCGCCCGGTGGTGGTGGTGGTGGTGGTGGTGGTGGTGGTGCTGCTGCTGCTGGTTGCCGCTGATGAGGACTGGATGGCCGGACTGGAATGGGGAGGGAAGAAGAGGAGTAAGTCCTTCTAGTCAGACTCAACTCAATCAAGATATCATCTGGGCGAGGGAGATAGCCACTAATGTCCATCCACAGAGAGATCTCTATTGAACTGGATATTATCTAGTGGACGGGGGCTCTCATCAAGGGCAGAGATCGATGGACAAACAAAGCCAATCGATTCTTGGTTCATTCATGGTACATATCTTGTTTTGTTTTTTTTGTTTTTTCGGGAGTTCTCTAGTCATGAGGACTTGAGGGAAGGGCAAGCAAACCTGGGTGTTCAGTATCATCGGGCAGTGGATGATAGAGATCGATTTCTTCGGGCCGGGATATTAGGCCGAGCTCGGCGATGGGGAGCTCGGTCGAAGCGGCTGAGCCGGTGTTCGTCGGAGGACTGCTGGCACTCTTCATAGTGCTACCAGGGCTCATGATCGGCAAGATCGTATCCTGCAACTCGGCCCGTCTCCGAGCCAGTCGATCGATTTCCAGCTTCCTCATCAGCTTCACGGCGTCCTCAAACTCATCCTGGCTCTTATCTGGCCGATCCTCCTCTACCTTCACCACCCGCCCTTGAGAGGAGCCATCCGACTGTCTCTGCTGAGGACCTCCCTCATCCGCCCCTGCTTCACTCACTGCGACTGCTATTAAGGGTGATGATGGCACTCCGGCACGGGCCTCACGATGAGGCGAATGGACTGCTGCTTGAGGAGAGATAGAGGGGTCAGGTGTTGTCTCGAATCGGACCCGGGGCGATCCTCGATCGGCGGGGGCGGCCGGCACACTGAGGGAACGTTGGTGGTGTTGGTTGTTAAGTTGATCGGGATCGGCTGGCGATGAGGACTCTTGGGGATTAGGACAAGCTGCTCTGCTCACTGAACCTAACTAGAAACGGATGGATAAGATTTGAAGCAGCTTACCCACTGCACTCGGGGAGGAACCCAACAAACATCGACTCGAAGCAGACCGACCGATGATATCTGATACACATTCACATTTAGATCATCAGAAGAAGGACACGATGAAGAAGAAAGAAAGAAAGGCCCGTAGACATGTCGAGAAAGTCATCATTGCAATCAATCTCGAGATAACAACGACGAACGAACTACAGAAGTTCGAGATACATGTCTCTCCCCATCTGAAAGCAGGGTCCATTGCAGAGGGTAATCAGAGAGAATAGAGTAGGGGAAAGGAGCAGGTATTTATAAACACTCAAAGTCTCTCATCAAAAGAAATGAGAGAAGCTAGTGAGAATGAAACTTTGTGGGCAAATGGAAAGAAAGTGCGCTCGCAATACTGTTGTCTGCTTACCATCCAGGTCGAGGTAAGCCGCCGATCCTATGGGCCTGTCCTTGGACAAAGACTGATCATCTGAGCCGACGAAACCATGGAAGGGTCAGTAGGCGCGTGCCAGATTTCGGCGGCCGGGAGCACAAGCTTACCATAGGAGAAGGAGCGGCTGTGGAGGGAAGTGGATTTATAATCGGGCTGATCGGGACGAGCAGGGAAAGGAGTGCGGGGCCTGGGATGGAGCGCGTTGAAGGGCGGGAGGTGTGGATCGGCTGAGGCAAGTGGCGGGCGATTGTGGCCGATCGAAAGACGATTGTAGAATGGGTGAAGGGCGAAGCGGGAGGGTGAGCCGGACGGAAGCGGAGGCCGGGCCTGCTGGGCCGGATGGTATAGCGGATTGCTCGACCGGCTGACTGGGTCCATATCCTTGATAATAATCGAATGATGCTCAGATAAAAAATAGGTCAAGAAAGAAAGAAAGTCTGAGAAGAAGATCAGTCTTATAAGAAATGGACGGACTGGAGATCTTGAACAATCGATCTCACTGCAACTATTTAAAAGATTCCAGACAAACATCGAATATGTATCTTCGCAGATCTCCAAACAAGTCATCAGCCCGATTGTACAATGTATTCTAAACCGACAACTGCAGGGTTGGTTAATATATCGGCACAAATAGTTCCCGATCAACCATCTTCAGTTTGGCTGCAATGGGTGAAGGGCCTTGGTGGGTGTGGTTGAATAAAAATTTGCCGGTCTACATAACATGTTTCCTTTGTCTCTCTTTCTTGCTGATTCAAGGGCATGCGACCGGCCGGCTATCAGTTAATTTGACTCCGAGCCGGCGCCCCATCGGTGTTGGATCGGGTTCAACTTCACGGAAGGGTATTCATTTTGAGGGGAATATGCAATATGGGAAATATGCAATCTGGCCAGGGCAGTCTGCAGAAGTTGCAAGTTGGAACAAACCAGAGCAACCACACAAGGAAGGACAAGCAAACCCACAATCAAGTCAGAGGAGATGGGAGAAGGCAAGCGACTTACAAAAAAGCAACTCAAAGCGACCGCATTCAGGAGCAAGAAGAAGATCAAGGAGCTCATCGAGGAGAAGAGCCAGGCCTTACCAGAACAGGACGAAGATATCGATGGAGAAGACGACGACAACAACACAAGAAAGCCTTCATCATCATCATCAACATCCAAGAAACGCAAACGAGAGAAACCATCGACGGCGAGCTCCTCAAAACCTGTTGTTGAAGACGATCAGGACGAAGCTCAGGAGACTTCTAAGACTGAAATCGTTAATGCGGCGGCCTTCAAACGCAGGAAGAGGAAGAATGCTGCCAAACTGAAAGAGAAAGAAGAGATCCAGAAACGGAAAAGCTCAAAGTTGATCCTCTTCATTGGAAACCTACCCTTCGACATCTCCGTCGAACGTCTCAAAAGTTTCTTCTTGGAACATTGCGGTCAGTCAACTCAACTTGCTCATTACATACTGATCGATTTTTGTAACTCACAAGCTCGAGTTTCCGAACATTGAAGGGGAGGAGCCGTCGGTGAGGTTGATGACTTCGAAGACGAGCCAATCGCCGGGTGGGACGAGCGTCCAGCCAACGACGAAGGGGTGCGGGTTTATCGAATTCGAGAGCTCTGCGGCGCTCCAGAAGGCGCTGAGGCTACACCATACACCACTGAGTGCGGAGACGGATGGGCCGACGAACTCGCGGGAGAATGTGGAGAAGAAGGCCCGGAAGATCAACATCGAGTTGACGGCCGGCGGCGGAGGCACCTCGGAGAACCGGCGCAAGAAGATCCTCGAATCCCACCAACGACTCGCTAAACAGAGAGACAAAATTCTGGAGAAACGCATCAAATCTTCGACCCTCGATAAATCTTCTAACCCCGCCAATCCCCCCGCCGACCCCCAGTTCGACGTCTCCATCAAACTCGGCAGTCGGCCTAATCCTCACAAGAAACATAAATCCACTCCTCTCAATCCTACACGATTTAAACCTCATTTCAGTGGCGCTAATGCAATCAAACTGGGATAGAAATCAAAAATCATCCTCATCAGTAACCTCTCTCATTGTTTTCTTTTTTTTTCCTGTAATCTTATAACACCTTCTAATCCTAGCCAATCAACAAAAAAAAGCCACTTCACTCGATTCCCTATATATCTTTCTTGAGAGGAACAGACATTTGGTGGATTGAGCAGGCTTCTTGAACATTTCTGGTGTAGAAGCACACAGGTGTCCTGGGGATACAAGGACTAAGTGCAGGTATTCAAATCAAGATCTTTCTGACCTTCAGTTCAATACCTCTTTGACAAGAAAGTCAACCTAGGCTTGTGAAAAGATGGTGTATTCTGGGACCACTGGCATACTGTCTTGAGGGTGATTATCACTCTCCGATTGAAATTAATTTTGCTAAGAGTGCAAACATGTCTGTAACATTGGCCCCTTCTTATACCTGGGTCAAACGTTCTGGAGTAACATAGCGTTCAAGAATTCTGGCAATACATTCAAGTGTTGGATTTGCTCTTGTCTCAACCAGGGCCAGAAAATGAATAAATAAACAAACCACTTCATATTTCTTGTAGGCCAAGGAGGCTATAATTAACAACCATCTTGAGCCCCTGACAGAAATGATCCCCAAGAAATTATGTAGGCAAGCGGATTTCAAGATACATATGTAAGAAGCAGACTGACAAATTGCTGCCATCAGTTGGAAGTCGATCAACCATGCTTTTAGACATTTGGATTCATTTCAAAGTATCGTTTAGGATCGGTAAAATATGGCCTACAAACAGAAGAGTTTTTTTTTTTTTTGCTATGGAACAAAATTGGAAGTTGAAAAGTTGAGATGGACTAGATCATTTTCTCCATTGGATTTCTTCTTCCTTATTAATTTGAGATTGTACGTAATATGTATTAATCTGATAGATGGAAAAAAAAAATTGAGAGAACAATGACTCATGCAACCTTTACATGAAGTAATAAATTAGAGTAATAATCGGTTTGTGGTAGGACAAAACCATCGGAGAAGTGGACCCCCTCTCGGCGGCTCACGAAGGGTGGAGTTGCTGCCGATGGGACATATCGCCAGAAATGTTCGGCTGATTGATCGAGCCAACGTCTTCGCCCATGACAAGACTCTGATTGCGAATGAAGATGATCCACCAGCTCTCGGTCCGGCGAGGCATAACACCCTTCCTGTCGACTCCCACCACACTTCTTCGGACCGGGTGTCAATCAACGGCTAACATCGCTCGTCATAGGCTGTATGCGTCTCATCCGGTAATCAACGTACGTTTTTCCTTTTCTGCTTGAGTTTCAAAAACGGAAACCTTTCGGCTGGTTCTTATGTAGTCTCATAGGAAGAAACCAATTGAATCTAATCACGAGTTTTTCTTCTGGCGTTTTACAGGGTCATCAGAATGGTCAAAAGTCGTCAGAGACATGGATGTTTTTCAGTGGTGAGTACTCTCAGATAATTGTACTCGTGAATCTCCATCAATGAAGCTAAGCCAACCAACATCCCCATCAAAAAATTGCGAAATAATGAATGGCGAATTGTGAGCAGGCATTTATCCGATCAGCTTGGGTCGATTTGACTTCCGTCCACGATTAATAGGTCCCAACTTGAAGGTAAACTCGTTGACTTTCTTTTGATAATGAAGACACTGGATTACACGAGAGATCTGATGTTGGATTTATGGTCAACCTTCGACAGGATTTAGAAAGCCGTCTCCGGGCCCTTATGGACCGTTCCGAATACCCATCACTCGAGATAGACCAGGTCGAGCCGCGCATCAAGGAAGGTGGCGCATTTGTCAGATTCGCTTCCGTTGCCCCCATCGAACCCGGCCTTCTACGTGCCCATCTTCTCGCCAAAATCGATGACCTCAACCTCAAGCCGTTCTGGTTGTTTAATTCACGGCCTGACGTCCACTTGGTCCAAGTACGTTAGGCTTGAAAAAAAGAAACCCTACTCTGCTATTTTGATCCGAACTGAACTGCTGTGATCATCATCTTTCAGGGGAAGCCCTGGTTAGAGGTAAAGTAGATTGATGGTTTGGCGTGCCCTATCAGCTTGTCCAAATTGATCGTAGTTGTTACTTCATTGGCCGCCAAAGTAGGACATGAATATGTGTCCCAACCGAAAGGTGATGGTGGAATTTGAAGGCCCAGTACTCGCACAAGAAGAACTATGGACTTTATTCCGTCCGGTAGGTGGCGATAGTGTTGACCAATGAAAGAGATCAATTCAGAAGCGTAAATGCTCAGTCTTACAATCTAGTTTGGTAGGGTTAAAGAAATTCACATGCCCACACCCAAGGACCCTATTCAAATTGCACACGTCACACTGGACGGAATCCGGCCGGCTGCAATCGCTCGTAGCTGCTTACATGGCTTGACCTATCGAACGGGCCCATCGGGCAGCTTTACGAGGATTAGAATCTTATATTCGTGAGCTTTCCTTCTGGCCCAACTTTGTTTCTGTATTCATCCGAGACTGATGCTTGATGCACCTTTCAGCCCCCGGATCCATGCAAAAACCGCACGCGATTGGTTGGGCTCTCATCCGAAGATCGTTCTCCCTATCTTGGCTCTCCTCCTCGGCGGCATCAGTTACACCTTCTTTGAACCCATTCGCCAGTTTTTCATCAAATCACACATGTCTGTTGTCCTCCTCACATCTTCCTCTTTTGGTGATCTAGAGTGCTAAACGACTTTCTGTGACTTATTTAATAGCGCCGGAACATTTGACCTTCAACAAAAGTCTGTATCAACATAGTCTACTTGTTTTTCACCTGATTCTTCCAGCTGGACTGATGCTATCATTGTTACTTATCTCTCACCCGTCTACCTGAATAACTAGTGCAGTTTTCTCTTGGCTCCAGAAGGAAACCGTTGGTCGTTTAGGCTTTGGGCGTGATTTGACCGGAGGGACTGATTTGGCAGGTAGTGCGGTGGAAAAGGAACGAGGTGATGCGGTGAGAGAGTTGAACACCTGGTTATCTGGAACACCTGGTATGTGGAAGATCCTTATTTATTCTGCGGTAATCTGGCTCCGGTGAATTTAATTCACATCTTCCCCTCCATCTCGGTTTATCTGTTCCAGGAACTTTTTTCGTCGTCCTTGGTCCCAAAGGCAGTGGAAAGAGTCAAGTGGTCCAGTCTGTTCTCAACGAAAGAGGGTTCGTGGTTCGCGGTTCTCTCTACATGTTCAAAGGTTTCTCTGCTCAAACGACCGCCTTATCTATGAAAAGGAACTCGTTGGTCATCGATTGTGCCAGCTTAATACAAGATGCAACGAACGATGACGTTGTGATAGCAGTGCGTTCTTATGCTAAATCCGAATTCACAATTGTCGTCTTTTTTTTGTACTGAGAGACTAATCAAATCCGTGTAGAATCTGGCGAAATCGCTAGGATACTTTCCCCAATTCTCATTTTTCGCTTCGGTCAATAATGCAATCGACATGGCTGCTGCCGGTCTAGTGGGCCAGAAAGTCGGATTCTCTTCTTCTCCGGAAGATCAGATGCACCAGGTAAGATATAAGCACTATTGATTGATTACTATACATATCATAAACTGATAGTCATTCTTATTTGTTTAATCTTATGCCGAAGATCTTGGATACTGCGGAGAAGGCCCTGAGAGATCTGGCCAAAGATGCTTTCATCAACCGCCAACACCACTTTGTAAATCAAAACCATCAAGCGGGCAATGCGCAATCGGAAAAAGAGAGTATCGCCCGCCTATTCCAACAGGTGATCGAAAGTATTCCTCTTAGCGGCCGGTGAGTAGGTGGCGGCACAAATTGCATGATTACACGTGAGCTCCCAAAAGCTGAGAATCAATGTTCTGTTCCCTTGCGTAGGTATTTGACAGATAAAACCTCAGATGCTCCGGTCGTGGTTCTCAAAGAGTTGAGTTAAACTGCCTGATATCGCCTTCCAGATTTGCTTTAGTTGCTCATCGCTGCTTTACAATACGGTAAACCACTCAGCTTCTCGATCAACGCCTCCGCCAAACATCAGGTCCTGTGGGACTGTCTCGCCAGTTGGGCGTGTCGTCTGACTGAAAGTGGGGTAAGCCTTTTCTCCCCCTTTCACGTGAGAAGATCCCATGGCTCAATCATGTCGTCCTGCATTTAGACTGCCCATGTAATCTTTACAAGTGAGAACTCTGGCGCACTGAAGCCTCTCACGCAAGGTCTGTATACTGTCTTCAATGCTCACATTTGATCCCGGTGATCTCACGAAAAACTGAGTTCTTCCTTGGCTCAATTATATAGCTTTCTCAACTCGACCAGTCAAATCTATCGTCTTGACCGATGCAAGTACAGATGTAAGCCCTTTTGGATACTAATGTCAATGCTGAGTTTTCTGGATTACTGACTTTTTTTTCTGTGGATCATCTTTCAGAGTGCATTGCAATATGTCTCGAAGAGATTATCGACTGATCCCAACCGGAAGAGTACCGTGTTGGCCAAAGATTCGGCACTGATCCAGATCGTTGGCGGCCGATTGACGGACTTGGACTTGCTAGTTCAGAAGATTGAAAGTGGCTTGGATGTGGAGCGTGCCATTGAGGAGATCGTGAGACAGTCGATGGAAGAGATCAAACGGAAATGTTTTGTCCATGGTGATCACGATCAGTCTAAGCTCCTGCCCTGGGCTAATCACCAGGTTTGGGACCTCATCAAGCGTCTGTCATCTCATGATGAGGTCAGTTGCTGTTTAAAAATCTAGCTTAACTATCATTCATTGAGTGTGTTGCTGATCAGATCGCCCTCTTCTTAGGTTCCATTGTATCCAATCTTGAGCGAGACGTTTGACGATGATCTTTCGGTCCTGTCGGCGTTGGAGTCGACCGATCTGATCACTCTATCCACCCACGAGAGTAAGCTAAATTTGTGTTATTGTCGGCAAGAGCAGATCATGCTAAATACACGGGTGCTGCTACACTGGATGTATGTAGATGGAGAAACGATGATCAGGGTTGGCAAGCCGGTTTACCGGACAGCGATCGAGCGACTATTGTCCCAGAAGCATTTCGCAGCGACGCACGATCTGAATTGGGCTAAGAGGAGGATGAAGAGAGCCGAAGAGTCGATTGAAAGCAAGCTCCATGAGCTCATCGAGCTTGGCAAGTTGTTCCCGACGATCTACACCGTCGGCAGTGACCGGCAAAGTTGGTTGTTTGGATCCACCCTGCCCACTCAGATCAGGTGGAAGGTCAAGAGGATCTTGCATGACCTTGACCGGCTCGAACAGATCGTCGACTCTGCTGAGAGCGATCTCAAACGGGCTAAGACCACTTTGTACTCCAGCCCTCCTTCTGTTGTATCCAAAAAGAAGTAGATTGTTTGTAAACTAAAGCTTCAGATGTACCTCCTTCGCTTGGCTCAATGTGTGAATGCCAGTTATATTAAGCTCCTTTTCATTACGTTGAACAAATGTTGAATGGATCTGGTTGGAGTCGTGAATTGGTTAGCGTTACCAGTACTCTGGTCGTATGTACCAAGTGTAATCTTGTTTTGATGATGCTCTGCAGACTCATTATTAATTACAATGTGTTTAATATGTAAATGCGGATTCAGAGTGTATTTATTATGTAAATATTTATGCAAGATGGCCTGACCAGGTCCCAGAGGCCGGAGACATCCAGGGATACCCACAATATCACCACACCCTCCCACTTCGCCACTATCCACGATGGCCAGCTCACAACCGACCAGTGAGACCGTCACCAGTCAAAGCCAACCGAACAACGAACCCACCCAGGCCGTGCGAAACAATACCATCCACACTCGACCGGCTGGCCCACTGATCCGCCAAAGCCGTCCGGGACGGGCGGCCGGTTCGCAAGGCTACTCGGCAAGTGATATGACCGCCTTGACCGAATGCGTGTTGGCGCTGCTCCCACTCGGAACGACGGAGTGGAACGAGGTCTGCGACAGGTACAACAGTTATGCTCACAATGCTGGACGCGCTCTCCGGGCATCTCATTCCCTCAAGACCAAGTTCCGTACTCTTGTCCATCACCCTAATCCCTCGGGCCTTCTCGACGATTGCCCCAGCTACGTCCGGCTGGCTAAACAAGCCGCAAAGGCGATCGAGAAACGTTCTCGGTTTTTGATCTCTCAAGACCCTGACTGGGCGGAGTCCGATGAGTATGTAAATCAACTTTCTGCTGCTTTCTTTCTTTCTTTCTTTCTTTCTTTTCCTTTGTTTCTTGCTCAATTCTTCTTCTCATCTGACCTTTTTCTCCTTCGTCATCTTGTGTGCGGGTTTTTTTTTATTAGAGACAAGGGGACGGGTACCTCTGTGCAAGTTTCGGGTCGATCGACAACGATGGAGGATGATCAGGAACGCGCGACTCAAGAGAATGGGGAAGAGACGAGACCACTCAATCCCCAAACGCAAGTGGAGCCCAACGGAAACCCAGCAGGCATTCCGGTGCTGCCAGCACAAGTCTCGGAGGAGAGGAGTCAATCATCAGCTTCGCCGGTGATGATTTCGACCACATCGTTGCAGCCGTTCGTTCGATCTACAACCAGTCCTCTCCGAACTGCATCCCAGCCTGCACCCAAATCTCTCCAGAGGCCAGGCCCCACTAAAGCTCATCCGCTGAGGTCCAATTACTTTTCCCCGATGGGTTCGAGAGACAGACGTGACTTGTCGGCGATCGGTGGCAGTGGCCGACGAGACAGGGGCTCAACGGATGGGGACTCAAAGACGACACGAGGCAATAACCTTCAGCCCGAGCCTGGTAGCAGTAGTCAGCTAAGGGAAAGGGAGAATGACCGGGGCCTAGTGGATTTTTACTCGCTGAGACTGCAAGAGGCGAATGCGACGATCATCCGCCTACAGGACGAGGCGAGCCGGAGCAAGGATGCCCAGGCCTCCAGGGTACAAGGCTTGGAGGACGAGAATCGGCGGCTACGGGACAGTCTGCTCCAGCAGACCGTCAAGGCCGACTCCCTCCAGGGACAACTCGAGATGATGGGCCGGCTCTGGGACCTCTCGAAGGCCTCCTCCTTCGCCTTCTTCCAGCCCAGCACAAGCCAAACCCCTCTCAACATACCCTCTTTTCCTAACTTCAACCTGCCCCAGTCCACTTCCTCCTCGATCCCTCATATGCCGCCTGTCCCTCCGGTCCCTCCCCCCGCTTCAGACACCATTCATAACCAAAACTCACAACCTTCTTCAATGCCCCTTGGCGCCCCAAGTGGTTCAGCCGAACATCTGGCTCCATCGGTGTCGACTTCCACTGCTCTTGATGAGCAAAACCAAGTGGGCAGTTCTGCACCATTCTGATTTACGGAATACATACGCACCTATCATCCTCTCACTCTCTCTTTAACTACCTTCTATCTTGTTCTTTCTTCCCATCCCCTTTTTTTTCTTTTCTTCTTTAAAATCAAATACCCTGAACATTTTTGTATGCAACATTCTACAGTTCTCTGTGCTCATTTAAATAGACTTGAACAAAAAAAAAATGCAAAATATATCAATTCAGTCACGTTATCTATCCCTCTATCATTATCTCTTTTTTCTTTCGGTGAAAGTGCCGCATATGTATCCGATTGCTGATTTTCATCAGTATCAGACTACCTCCTTCTCACGGATATAGTGTGATATTAACCCCATGCATTCTGCTGGTTAGCTTTGATGGAAGATTTTCAGGTTCTATGTAGGAGAGACTGCATATCTTTCTTGGTATCCTAGATAGATTTGAAGCTTTATGAATAAATGGATCGAAGAACATTATCCTTTGCTTCTCTGTTCACTCTTGAGATGTGCATGAACCATGTGTTGTGTCTGTTTATGGAGCTCCTGAGGGGTGAGAGCTAAAAGAAACATAATAAAGAAAGATGAGTGTGCTAGCTGAAGGAGTTTAATTTGTGAGTCCACTCCACTTGGACCTTCAGCAACAACCCAGGCTGACTTCAACCAGAACACCACCATCCACCATGCAACGACCAGCAGCAGCCTCCCATTCAGAGCCCGAGCCATCGACGACCACACTTCCACCCTCAGTCCTGCCCCCACTCGAAACTGATCCTACCATCGAGCCGGTGCCCGCATTCTCGAGACGGGGGCCGTTGAAATGGACCGACTATCTCGGCTGCTACTTGCCAGGGTACGACGGCCCACATGATGGTTAGTGTTCCTCCTCCCCTCAAAAAAAAATCATCATCTATTTCTCAGCAAAGGCTTATAGATGAAAATGGATCATGTCTTCTATGTGTCAGTTGGTACACTGACTCTGGAACTGCCGCTTCCTGAACCCTATTCAACATACGAACTCTCGAGTCCTATGAAGAGACACGACGGGAAGCCGATCCTAGAGTTGAACCCCTCCCTGATGACGATCTTCTATCCGGTTCAAAAGCGGCCTGCCGAGCCGCTGTGGCGGAGGGCTCTGACGATGGGCAGACTAGTCGGTGGGGAGCCCCGGTTACGCTGGATCACTCTGGCCCAGATCCAAGGCTATCTCCGGTTCGCTAGCATCCCTACTTGGATGCGCTGCTTGATCATCCCGCCGCTCCTGCTCGCCATGGGCCCGACCAAGCTCCCGACTCGAGGTGGGGCCCCGATCTGTCTCAAGGAAGGTGTCCAGCAGGACGGCGAGCGACGGCGGTACAAGCTGATGATCTTCTCGCACGGACTGACCGGAAACCGTACTTGCTACTCGCAGCTTTGTGGCCGATTAGCCGCACAAGGATACGTGGTGGCAGCGGTTGAGCATCGGGACGGGACGGGCTCGCATAGCGTTGGGGCGGCCCGGATCGGCGGCAAGACGGTGGAGAAATCGGTGCCCTATGTGGACATGGCTGATGTCAGCTCGGACACCCGACCAGAGGACTACCTGGTCGCACGCGCCTTCCAGCTCGAACTCCGGACCGTCGAAGTCCTTGCGGCTGCCAAATCTCTGGCCTCCCTCGCTCGCCCCCTTCCCGGTTGGAGGGCGCTCCGAGACGCTAACCTCAGGGTCCGTGGTGCCCCCGGATGGGCCGCTGATGATGGCGCACAATGGTCCGACCAACAGTGGGATAACTTCGCCAGCGCCGTGGATTGGGATCGTGATGTCACCCTTGCCGGTCATAGTTTCGGTGCTGCTGATGTGGTTGAGTACCAGATCACTTGCTTCTGCTCAAATTAAATTTCTAACACCCTTTTGTTTGTTTGTTTGTGATGTCGATTGTGGGGGTTAGATAATGGCAGCACGACATCCCGATCGACCAAAATCATGGAAACGATTTATCCTTTACGATCCCTGGCTAGAAACCTTAGACCATTGTTCGGAGAAGTTCATACGAACATGGAGGAAGAGTTCATCGAGCGAAGGGCCAGTCCCGCCGGACTTCCCATGCTTGATCGTCAATTCGCCCGGCTTTACCGTATGGAAGGAGCACTTCAAACGGCTCCAAGACCTCTTCATCATCGATCGTAACAAGTCTGATCAGTTCTGCTTGTTCGCTACTCTGGGCGGAATCATACATAGCTCGTTCTCTGACCTCCCCGTCTTGGTCGAATGGTTCGTCTCCCTTTCTTCTTCAAACTTCAGGTTTTTCTTTTTCTCTATTCATCTCATCACTCATCTTTTGGGACTTGATCATGGATATCTCTCTCTTTGAACAGGCTTTGGAAGCTCACGAGAAAGTTGAAGGTGGATTCGCAAAAGGCGATCCAAATCATCACTGATCTGACGCTCGAATTCATCGAATACGACGCCGCCGGGGGTCGAGCGCCGTCTAAAGAAGCCCGCAGAGAGAAAGAAGATCAAGCCGAGGCGAAGGATCGCTTGCAGGCCTTTCTCGATCTTCATAAGCCTCAACCCAGCCATGGCCATCCCCAACACGAAGAATCGCTCGAGTCTCTTCAGCCTGGAAAGCTCCTTGTTCACTTCAAGCGCTTCTTTTAGAGCTCTCTCTCTCTCTCTCTCTCCTTCGTTTGAAATTGTTACATATGTACTCTCGCTCCTTCCTAGAATAGATAAATAGATAGCTATATAGATGGATTGTATAAGATGTAGTACTTGTGTGTATTGATGTTTTTTTTAAGTGCAGATTTGATTTGACATTGGATTAAAGAATAGATGGATGTTGTATTATAAATCTCTTTTCAGCTTTTATTTTTACAGTAAGTTGCATGGCACTATTTCTTGCTCATTGGCCCCATTCCCTGCAACCTTTGATATGTCCCAAATGCCAATCCATATTATTAGCTTTGGACTTGTCCTAGTGGGCTTTGACCTCCGTGCACAAATTTGTCCCACTCTACCTTAAACAAGATGTGGCATGATTTAAAACATATTTCTTGAATTCATTCAATATTTCAATTTTATTCCCTGGGATAAAATATAAAACCATGAAGTCTTTGATGCGTAAGAATTTTGCCTACATATGATCAAGAAATGTGAAATAAAAATCATACTTCTATTTGTTTGTTTCTTGCACAATAAATCAAACTCCAGTCACTTTGATTTGGAAAAACATCATTCTACTTATGAGACAGATAAACATGCACATCCAGACCCTGCTTGTGTGGAAGAAAAGGAACATGGAAACTACCAGAAAATTTCCATCAGAATGGTGAATACCATCTGTATAAAATGTGTGAGAAACTACATGTTAAGCTGAAAGTAAAGATTTTCAAAAAGATCTAGAGTAGTTTGTAGGCCTAGATTGATTTCTTGGTCTGGAGTATCATCTTCCCTAGCATGAGGGAAATCAATTAACCTAACATGTGCAATTTCTTGGGTTGGTTTTGTTGAAGAGCCTGTATTCAAAGTTTTCAGTCTTTTAACATCACCTTCATATACAATCAACAAACTGGTGTTGAATGTGCACCACTTGAACTTGGACACATTTTTTGTCAGAATTTTAAGTTGAGAAATTAGGGATTCAACAACAGTTTTCATCATCTCTTTAGGCAAGCCACCCAGAGACTTTCTCAATTGGTATTCTTCATGACTTGAACCTGTATCAACATTCAAGATTGGAAAAAAATAGTTGAATTTTCTTTTTAAGTCCTGTTCCTTTATATAATGGCCATATAGCTTTGAAATAGATTCATATTTTTCTTGTTTGTTATCCCAAATCTTTTTAAATCGTAGAGCGTTAAGAAACATCAATATTGTAAGACTCAGAAACTACACATTATCAAAAAAACAATTGTGCAATTGAGACACAATTACTTTCAATAATAGTGAAAAACGCTTGCCTGAGCACCAGTCAGACGCATACCAAGCAGATGCGAAGTAGTTGTAATTGCAAGTCGCTTCTTACGCACTTTTGTTGAAGGCTTTGATTTATCACCGTATAACCTTTTCCCCAGTTTGATATCAATTACATTGGGATGCCAAAAGTAATTAGGATCTTTACCCGCTTTTCTGTGAAGGGATACCGGTGCTATATTCTCTAAAACAATGAAAGCTCGATCCCTTCCATTCTTTTTGTTTTGTCATTCCAATCGATCCAAAACAAAAATTAGCCTGAATAATAATACAGGCGAAATGAATGCATACTAACCTTTTTCATTGAAGACTTCTCCCAATTGAGAATTGAAGGTTTCCAACTGCCCCGGTAAGGTTCTTCCAATAAATTATCAAGTTTTGGTGCCACATGCATATAGAAATCTGCCTCGTCTTGGTAGGTTTCCTTGAGGATCCTTGTGGGGTCGTTGTGGTAGATGCCCAAGCGGCCTTGATGACCGCCAGCTTGAATAAGTACCGGGCCTGTCTCCTCCTGCTCACGGCAAGGTTTGAACTGGGGGAAAGGAAGTCGTTGAAGCAGTGAGGGGATTATTTGTTCCTCCCCTCGGAACCTATCGCCATAGTAAGAATCAAGGTTAAGAGATTTGAGCTGTCTAAGCAGTGGGAGGACCATCTGTCCCTCCGGTTGTAATTCATCCTCACTGCAAAGTTCAAAACTGAGATATTCATGGCAATAGCATATGGTGGACGGCAAGGATAATACACCGGCAGATGATAAAAAGCATTCGGATATATCATGATTTTGTGAAGTGATGAAGGCTGTGTTGTGAGCACACATAGCCCGTGAAGCTGAAGTAAGTAGCATGGCTGAAATTCAATCTAGCTTGAGTTTTTTGAAGCATTGCTGAAATTTAATGTAGTGTGTTTCAAGACCACAATATATAGACATGGTCTTCAGTCAGCTCTGAAGACCCCCTGATGCTGACGCCAGTTTGCTGAAGCAGAGTAATCAGAGTATGTATGGTTAGAGCACCATTGGCATAGCTGCTGACAGCGGTCCGGCGGAGGTAAATTCAACTGACTTCCCGCTACATAACAATCCTTCTGACAACCCCTAACCTTAGTGAAATATAGAAATATAGGCTGCCTCGCCTCCCCAAGGTCGGACTGATCAAGCTCGTGGAAATACTGACTTTGAAATCATGTGTATTAGAAAGTTCACCTCAAAATGGCCATGAGAGGTTCCCTTGAGGTGAACACTGACCTGCTGCGGCAGGTCTGCAACATGTAGCATATGTGACCACCCTGAGGCATGTAGCAATGTGACAGCTCACATACATGCCGGCACAACATCAAAGACAAATCCTTAATGAGGGTTTGGGCATCACCTTGTATCTAGAGCTCCATGAATTAGTGTACAGCTTTTATTTTTTCACTATGTTCACTCCATCTTCCCTCACACCCAATTAGCTGTGTAGTTGACTACATCCCTCTTGTCTCTCATGACTAATCCCATCATAAAATACCTGTCTTTGTTGCCTCCTGGGATCTGGTATTGATGTATCAGCAAGACAAGACAAGACAAGCATAGCATCTGTACCAGAAAGTCTGTGTCACACTTCCTGTTATTTTAGGAGTGATGGTGTCATCCAAACAGATATCTTTTGCTTGAGTGTAGCATATGTCCCAAGCAAAGAGCAGGAGTTGAGGTGTCATGAAAACAGATGCTCCAAAGTCCATACAGATCCCATGCTATCAGCTGATCAAGTCCCATACCAAGAGATCACTAAAAATCTGCACTCAGAGGCAAGGCTACTTTGGATTGAAGTTTCTTTGAGTATTTTACTGTGCTCTGGGTAACATGTCAGGAAAAATGAAGGTTTGGCTGAGTAATCAGGTAGATCCTGAATCAAGATATGAATCAATTCAGCAAGCAGAGTTAGTCACATGCACAGGCTTCATTATTTGGAAACCTTATTGCGTAACATGGCACCTCTCCAAATATTTCCAGAACTATCCATATCCTTCAACACATATCCAATACTATATAATGAAAATAGGTGCAGGATTATCCAGTTTGATTGAATTCATGGCTGGAAAACAGGGGCTGACTTGCGAGGGAAATCTGTTTGATATCTGCATCAATTTTTATCTAAAACAAGACAAACCTTAACTTAGCACAACTAAGACTGGCTCGACTGTAGTCTGTAGGGTCTTGAAACAAGAATATCTCAGTAGGAGATCTATTGCAACAAAAAATGTGAGACTATTTTTTTAATTGCAATCAGTAACAATGAGATCATTTTGTTTTTTGATACAAGAAGCTACATCTTCACACATAAAATTTTGATTAGGATTCTTATAGTTCATTTAAGTAGATCAATCAAATAAGTCATTTGGATCACATCCATTTCATTAAATAGAAAATTTAAAGAAATTTATAATTTATCCACAATAATGGAATGAAAAGGCAAAGTGTTGAAATTCTCTATTATAACACATTGCTCAAAAAACATATTCTCATTTTTTGATCCCAGTTTTCATTTATACAGTCATTCTATTAGCATTTTGTTAGTAGGTGGATAGTATTATTTGTTACACATATGTAGCCAAGAACCTCGTGTAGTATTTAAGACATAATCATCCCATTTTCAAATGAATGGTCTGATTGATAGTATTGCATTTTGTTCAAATCCGTTATTCCATTCATTATTATCAACCACATGTTGAAATAATTTTTATTTATTATCTTTCAATTATTTATCTACAAGTGAAAATCAATCATTGGTTCTCATTATCTTAAAATTTGATAGTGCTTCACCCTCTGTGAGTCTGCAAGACCATTCAAACATCTTCTCCTGAAAATTAATCTCAACAAGTTCTTCACAAAGCCTTTTTAAAAAGAATTGTTTCAAAATTGAATAGCATAAAGCCCTCACCTGTCAGATTTCATAGGCAATGAGTCATAAGTCCTTTCCTTTCTTTTTCTTGTTTCTATTTTCTTCCCTTCTATTTCCCTCAGTTTGTCCAAGTCTTGATTAACATATCTGAAGTAATGCTAAATCAATCCTTCCACAAATTCATACTTTTTCCCAGTCTGTCTCACCATATGTAAGAGCATCTCCAGCGCGGGCTGTAAATTGCGGCTGTAACAGCACTTTACAGTCCCGCGCTCAAAACTCAACCCCCATTGGGGGGGGGGGGCAACTGGGGAGCTCGTCACCTTGGGGAGGTAGAAATCCTCACCAAGACTCTAGATGTAGCTCCCCTCTAGAGCCCATCAATCACCCCGCAAAGCACACTTCAATCACAGAAATTCACCCCCACAAGTACTCCCATACCCCACTACCACTTCCATTTCAACACAACAATGCCTCCAAAATCCACCACCAAATCGGCTGCCTCCAAAACTCTACCAAAAAAGCAAACTGTGAAGCCAAAAAAAATAAGTAAGTCAAAGTCTTCATCTCTCATTTTCTACAACAGCCATGCTGACACAATCCTCTTGTTTTTATAGAAGCTTGTTTGATCAAGGTTCTTGATGATGAAGTCAACAAGAAAGGTGAAATACCGTCAAAGAAAACAAAGCTTGATGTCCAAGAAGAGGACAAACAAAAAAGCCAACCATCCAAAAATTCAACCGACAAACCTACTAAAAAACCACGCAAAGGTGGGCCGGCCAAGAAGAAGGTACCTGCCAACGACAACAGTGACAAAGAAGAAGCTTCTAAGCGGGCTCCAAACTACAAGGATGATGAGGACATTGAACTCTGTCGCTTGTGGCTTGAAATAACCAAGGACCCACTCAACTCGACAAACAAGAAGGTACCTCCCAACAACGACAGTGACAAAGAAGAAGCTTCTAAACGGGCTCCAAACTACAAGGATGACTGAGAATCAACAGTGGAACGCAGTGAGCAAGAGAGAGAACTTGGGAGCAAGGACAGAAAGGAATTGAAGAGAGATGTGTAATCACCTGAGAATCACCAGTGGACCGCAGTGAGCAAGAGAGAGAACTTGGGAGCGAGGACAGAAAAGAATCGAAGGGAGATGTGTAATCACCTATTGAGGTGTACAGTGAAGAGCGACTAGATGAGTGAGTATGCATTGCAAGCAAAACGAAGGAAAGCACAGTGAAAGAAAGAAAGAGATGGAACAAAAGGGCAAACCTGAGAATCACCAGTGGACCGCAGTGAGCAAGAGAGAGAACTTGGGAGCAAGGACAGAAAGGAATCGAAGAGAGATGTGTAATCACCTATTGAGGTGTACAGTGAAGAGCGACTAGATGAGTGAGGAAGAAAAGAAAAGAAGGAAAACCAAGGTTCTACACTGAGGAATCTAAATACAAGTTTTAACCTAATCTGGTGATAAATACAAGATTCCTTAGTGTTCATCCTCTCCAGAAAATCTAACCGAGCGCCTAGTCGCTTCCATCTCCTTACTGTCGCTTGACTTTCACAATGACGAGGACATTGAACTCTGTCGCTCGTGGCTTGAAATAACCAAGGACCCACTCAACTCGACAAACCAGTCGGCGGATACCTTTTGGGCTCGCATTTGCAAGCATTATTTGCTCAAGGGTCCTGCGCACACTTGTAGTCTGAAGAGTATCAAGACTTGTTGGCAAACGCTTCAACGATGTAAGACTCAAAAGTGGTTATGAAACCCTTTTTCTGAATGGAGAAGGGTATGTTGGAGTTGCCAGCTCTGCCCTTCTATACTATCAGAACAAAAAGACCACCAAGCTTAGCTTGGCAATTTTATATATAGTGATAGGGATAAGTTCGAGATGAAGCTGCCGATTGATATGTGTGAGGATATAAAGATGTTATTGAATGTTGGTTATATTGATGAAGTTGTTGTTGATGAATATGGTTCAGGGCACTTTTGGTTTATGATGTTGATGAAAGTGTTAAATCTGTATTTCAATGTATATAATTCTGAAATTGTAATGTGGCTATGACTTGTAGTTATGAAATAATATATAAGATGGATTTATTTATAAGGGTGGTTGAGATGATCTGGTCCACTGGTGGGATGATGGAGGGAACAACTGGCAGGCAGAGGCCTCCTTATATAGACAAATGTGAGGGATTTTGGCCCCAGGGTACAGGCTGAAAGATACTACTACAAAGGGATGCATATGAATGAATAAAGGGACACATATGTATGATCAAAGGGATGCATACATGCAATATCACTAATACAAAGGGATATAAAATAACGTAAAGGTATTCAATTTACTACAAAGGAATTCAGTATTCAATATTCATCTGTATTCATAATGACTATGGGTAGAGTGAAGAATCCAAGAAATATCCTGTGACAGGTTGAAATACGTGTAACTTCTAAACTATGAGAGATAAGGATATGGTTGTAGTGGGTGACTAGGGGTTATTTTACCCGAGGATTCCATTTTTGATGTCATTTTTATCATATCTTGAATGAATAAAGAGATAATGAGAAATTTTTACATTTTTCTGCGTATAAACACAGTATTATTCACCACAACGACCGGTCAACAAATTCAACGGCTGTTACAGGCAGGTTCAGAAAGCCAATCAGAGCGGAACAGCCATTGAAGATCACATGTGTGCTGCGCACAAAATCTATGTCGCAAGTGAATCAAAAGCTTTTACCCACATCCAATGTTTTAACGTCCTATCATCCTTACAAAAGTGGAGCAAGTACTGCACTTCCTTAGACAAAAAGAAAGATCAACGCAAGAAACCAGCTGATGGCGAGTCTGATCTGCCGCCATCCAGTGCAATTTTCAATCTTTCCTCGGAAATTATCCCCTCGGAATCCATAAGCGAGGCCACTGGAGTTGCTTCTCAATCTACTGTAACCGGACGACCGACAGGGAACAAGAAAGCCAAAGAGGCTTGGGTCCAAGAGTTGAAGGATGCAAAGTGGAAGGACAATCTTGTTAAGGTCCAGTGAACGCTTGCTGCCCAATCAGAAGCACAGAACACCATTCAAGCTGAGCAGAAGGACACTATGGTCTGTATGGCCGATGAATCAATCATGAAGGTCAATGCCTCATCTTTTGGCCCGGCGCAAATGTAGAGACAGACAAAATGAAGATGTGTCTGGTGAGAGTCGAACTCACGACCTCAGCTAAGCTGAGACACACTACGGACATTCAGCTGTCGCTCCGCCCCGCAGCGTCACCTGACGTTTCCCACCAGACTCAGATGTCGCGCGACCAGATCAGAGTTGAACCTGCAACGACACTAGACCCATCGTAACAACAGTTACGACAGCACTCTAATCATCTCAACTGACCAGCACCGAAAATTGAAACAGTACATATTTACATAATTAAATAAGCATGAAGAAAAGATGAAATAAAATAAATGTATGTACATAAAATAAAAATAAAATAAAAATGAATGTGCTGTTGCTACCAAAAGAGGGAGTCCAGCGCCACAAGGCACCCGCTGTCCTCCAATGACCGGTGCCGGCCATCAGGAGAGCTCAGTCTTTCTTGATTCCCCAAGTCGGTCATCAATTACAGCTCTCCTGATGACCATGACCAGTGCCGGCCATCAAGAGAGCAAAGCAACGGTGGGCCGCTACACTAACCGTAGCGGTTAGTGTAGCGTAACGCAGCGGAATTCCCGTTAGCGTTAAGCGTAGCGTAGCGGAATTCCGCCACGACACCGCTAACGCTACGCGTGTGGGCCGCAAAAAAGGGCCCACTACGCTGCGCTACAGCGGTTTTTAGCGGTTTTTAGCCGCTTTTTCCGCTAAAAGCGCTGTAGCGCAGCGTAGCGTAGCGAAAATGCGCTACAAAAGCGCTAACACTACGAATTTTTGGCGCAAAAAAAGCGCCGCTACGCTACGCTTTTTGGGCCAAAAGCGTAGCGGCCCACTGCTGAGCAAAGCTACTCTGAACGGGCTGGCCATCAAGAAAGTGTAGCCCTCTCGGTGCCGGCCATTGAGCTACACTCAATTGATGGCTGACACCCAACATTGATAGTGTAGCTCCTCTGTTGATGGCCATTGAGAGCTATCTGCGAGACCAACAACAACTGAAAAGAGAGGGACAGAGCGAGATGCAGCACCCGTGGCCACTACATTGTATTATACTATATGCAATAGAAATTGATTGGTCCTCACTTCAAGTTGACGGATAAAAAGATTGAGCGACGGTTCAACAGACAGCTCTGGAACCCCGTCGGTATGAGAGTCAGGGCAGGCTTGGAAGCTGTTTCCTAGCAATCAACGAGCAGTGACGAGTGAGGAGCTCATGGGTATAGTGCGCGGCACCGAGCCGGGTGTTCGAAGCAAGATTGAAGGGCCCTCAGAGGGCGAGGTGAGGAGCCGATTGTGGCAGATGGTCTATGAGGCCATGCGTCTGGATAACAAGATCAACAACGACGAGGATCTTAACATCGATGCTTGTCTTGACGGGCACCTCGTCCGCATGCTTGTCAAACCCGCCCCTCCTCCCTACCCCTCCCTCCGTCGACCTCCTTGCCACTCGTGTTGCTGATTGTCATATCTAGCTTGATCTCTGACAACCCTCTTTTTATGTTGGATTCTCTCTTTGTCAATCTCTGGACTCTTCGGCTCTTTCATTTTCTTTTCCATAGTCTGCTCATTAGTACATAGAAAAAAAAAACACAAAACAACTTCTACATCAACATCAACAAAAAAACTTGTGTCTTGGTGCCCTCTTTCCCTTCCTTCCTTGCCTCTTCTAATTCAGATATGATGTTTGTATCAAAGTGGAAACATATTAGAATCCAAATCATGAGGAGAAAACAAATGTCAAACTGCAAATCTCAATATGAGGTGATGGCTGACAGCTCTATGCAGAGGCTTTTAAATTTAGGGTTGAACCTGAATTGAGGAGAAGCGGTGGCTAATAAAAAATACCTCTCGGTCTTTCTCATCAAACAATGAAATGTTTGGGACCAATTATTAAGTTGGAAGCAGTGCTGCTAGTATGGCGATGCGGAATCAAAGGACCTCATTTGTCAACATGAGTCAAGTGCTACCCCTGTTGGTCATATTTGGTGGTCGGGTTGGAGGATGAGTGTGCAGGGGTGTTGAAAGTGGAGGAGTTATTGGAGGAAAGGATGCTGTTGGGAGTTGAGACACACTTAGGACAGACTGTGAACAAAGAGCAAGAGAGGGTTAGCCACTTGAGCAAGGAGGCGATGATTTTTTTTATGTCGCTTGAATGACCTACGCCGCCGGATTGAGGGCTTTGACAGGTGTACACTGTACGCACCTTGAGGGGTATTACAGACTGCGATCAATTACATGAGGGCCGAAGATGAGGAAGAATCAAATCGTCAATGGTTGATGTTGCTAGCTGTGTTGAAGGAAGCTGTCAATCTCCACCAGAGAACTCTGGTGTGATCTGTCGTTTCATGGTTTCAATTGTTGCTGCTGCTGACGTAGCATGAGGATTCAGTTTAACTTGAAACGTCAAGGTGACGCTGCGGGCCGCAGCGACAGCTAATTGTCCGTAGTGACACATACTAGAGTGCTGCCTTTACCAACTAGGCTACAGACGCTTGTGACTGCCAGGGTTGTTGGGTGGTAGTGCTCATGGTTCGACATGTAGTGATACATCATGGTAGCAGACTATCAGACACCTCAACAGCAAAAAGCTTTTTTTGGAATGGAAGCAATCTCAAATTTTGCAGAAGATCACCCAGGAACAGGAAGGAGCAAAAACGGAGGAGGATAAAAAAAAGAAGAAGCAAAAAAGGAAGAAGAGAGGAAAAAGGAGGAAGCAAAGAAGGTGATCGAGGCAATCAAAGCAACTGAAGCAAGCAAATCAAACAAAGCGAGCAATGCCAACAATTCAAACTCGTCGAAAGCATCTTGGGTCAAAAAAAGAGCTGGTGTCAAGGAAGCCGAAGTGGTTGTAGATGTTGAAGAAGAAGAGGTGGAAGAAGGAGAAGCGGGAGGTGAGGAGGAGGAAGAAGTGGTGGAAGTGGAAGAAGAAGAAGAGGTGGTGGTGGTGGAGGAGGAGGAGGGAGAGGAATGAAATGCAGTTTTATATTTTTATTGTTATTTTTCTCACTTGATCAAGCATGTTTCCTTTTTTTTCTCTATGTTTCCTCTCAGTTTTTTTATGTAACATTCTTTTCATTTCTTGTTGAAAGCTCATCTGCCTACATGAATAGTGAATCAAAACATAACAACAATTGAGAGGGGGGTTGATAAGCGCAAGCCAACCCCCCACGTGCACGCCAGCTGCAGATTGGTGTGCGCGCCTGCACGCCATTGCAGAATGGCGTGCAGGCAGGCAAGCCATTCGACTGCAGGGGTATACCCTGCAGGTTGGCGTGCCTGCTTGCACGCCCAACTTTAGGTCCTAAACGCATATTTATATGCGTTTAGGACCTGGGCTGTCCCATAGGACCCAGGCATGGGTCCTATGGGACGGCCCCAGCATTGATGTTTTTTTTTCTTTTTTTTTTTTTTTGAAACCCCCTCGGCCTAGAGAGGCCAAGGTCACACCGCCGGGAGGAACCCCTCCCGGCGAGCCGGTGTACAGTCCAGCGGAAGGGTTTCCTTTCGCTGGACGAGGGGAAGGAACGCCTTCCGCTTGGACAAGGTACATGTACCTCTGTAAGGACTCCGTTGAGTCCTTCACTGTCCGTCGGAAATGGCACTAGCAAAGGAGCTCAATAGCTCCTACGGAGAAGTTCTAGTACCAAAGTGGGTTTAATTGCAGTCTAGACCGGAGAGAAGGATCTCTCATTAGTATCTACAAGTGAAGGAAAAGAAGGAAAGGAAATGAGAAGAGAAGGAAGGAAGACAGGGTACTCACCTAGACCGGAGAGAAGGATCTCTGCTGTCTAGGTGAAGGGGCAAGGTGAGACTAAATACAAGGCAGAACTGAGCTTATGTAATCTAGTGACATGTTTGTGTAAGTCATGAGGAGCAGGGCTTACAACCTCGTCCATCGGAAGGAAACCCTTCCGCTGGACGAGGTACACGTACCTCGTCCATTGGAAGGAAACCCTTCCGCTGGACGAGGTACACGTGCCTCGTCCATTGGAAGGAAACCCTTCCGCTGGACGAGGTACATGTACCTCGTCCATTGGAAGGAAACCCTTCCGCTGGACGAGGTACATGTACCTCGTCCATTGGAAGGAAACCCTTCCGCTGGACGAGGTACATGTACCTCGTCCATTGGAAGGAAACCCTTCCGCTGGACGAGGTACACGTACCTCGTCCATCGGAAGGAAAGGCGCCCCAACTAACATCAGAAATACGGCAGACACTGGTGAAAAGGTGTTCAGAGAAGCTGCGGTTCATTCGCTCAGTTGGCTTGTCGGCCCGAGCCTCGAAGACGATCCCGACCGAGCCGAGTTATTTCATTTCTGACATCCTCAACGACATTCAGGTCTATCTAGAGAAGTATGGCAAGAACTTGACCGAGCAGGTTCGGACGAATCTGGTGAGCGGGATCATCGACGAATTGTCAGCCAAGTATCTCGCCATCCTCATAAACGTCCAACGCTCCGAGGACTCCTTGAGGAAACTCAAGAAGGGCAAACACGGCTTCTCTATCTTTAATCGCAACTCTAACTCGGATTCCAACAAGGCCGCCCCCCTCGTCGAGGACGACGAGCTTAAGGTTAAGGTTCAGTTAAGGCTTGATGTGGAGCGCTTGGAACTCGATTCCATCCGCTTGGGGGCCGATCTTTCCTCTTCCAAATCATTTCTTGAATTAAAAGAAACAGTCTCTAAATAATCCTTCCTTTCCTTCAATTTTCTTTGTGTACCATCCATATCTTTGCTTCTTTTTTGAAACCTTTGGTCTTTTCCTCTTTTTGGTTTTTAATGTCTCAAGCTCAATTTCATTTCTTTATTCTTATAATCTACTTACATCGAGCAAATTTTTGGTCCCGCAGGGAAAGCACATAGACAGACAGATCATCAGTCTGAACAATCAGACTTCAATTTGTCCTTGCAAGCTTCTTCCCTGTTCACCGTGAGACCTGGGGTCCTTTTGGAACCCTTCGATCGAAAGCTTAGTTAAGCTTAAGTCCTGTGACTCGTGAGTCGTCTTGTTATAACCGTCGGATGCGTTTAATCAGGAAGGAAGGGCATCAAGAACCTCGCCCAGCGGAAGGGTTTCCTTCCGATGGATACATGTACCTTGTCCAGCGGAAGGGTTTCCTTCCGATGGACGAGGTACATGTACCTTGTCCAAGCGGAAGGCGTTCCTTCCGATGGACGAGGTACATGTACGTCCAGCGGAAGGAAACCCTTCCGCTGGACTGTACACCGGCTCGCCGGGAGGGGTTCCTCCCGGCGGTGTGACCTCGGCCTCTCTAGGCCAAGGGGGAAAAAAAGAAAGAAAAAAAATGGAAAAATGGGGCCGTCCCATAGGACCCATGCCTGGGTCCTATGGGACAGCCCAGGTCCTAAACACATATAAATATGCGTTTAGGACCTAAAGTTGGGCGTGCAGAAAGGCACACCAACCTGCAGGGTATACCCCTGCAGGAGGATGGCTTGCCTGCCTGCACGCCATTCTGCAATGGCGTGCAGGCACGCACACCAATCTGCAGCTGGCGTGCGCGTGGGGGGTTGGCTTGCGCTTATCAACCCCCAATTGAGAGAGATAAGATGGAATTATTCCGAGGAACCCTTTAAGGCCCAAAGATGCTTGATAAGATCATTTTTCAATTGGTGATGAGCTGTCTTGTCACACAATTGCTGATAGTTTTGTACAAAAAGAGAAAAATTAGCCAATTTGCTTTGCCCTGGTACTACAGCTGTACTGGTTTGAGGTTAAATTGGCACTAGGGAAATCTTTGTACAAAGCATCAATGGTGCCACAGAGACGATACGATACGGTATCAGGTGTTTATCTGTATCGTCTCAGAATTGGAATACCCAAAAATACCGGATTTGTGTTGTCTCACTTTCCTGAGACATATACATGTATCGTATTTGAAAAGTGAGAAATGTATTCTGTATCGTCTCAGATGACTGATCCCACCAAAACCGTATTTGATACATAAGATATTTGGCTGTATTGAAGAAAAAACAAAAAAAAACGAAGACGAATTTTTTTTTTTTCATTTTTAAATCCAAATCCGATACAATGTATTTTTTCACCAACCAAGGAAATACTGATACCGGTATCAGGCTCAAAATAAATACGATACGATCCGATACAAATACATGTCTCGTATCTGTGGCACCGTTGAAAGCATCAAACTCCAAGCCCCTTTCATCCTCCACAATCACATTGTGGAGGATGATGCAGGCTTTCATGATCTTGTTCAAGTTGAATTGACTCCACCCTTGCGCAGGCTGGCCAACAATGGCGAATCGCGCCTGAAGCACACCCAATACTCTCTCCACATCCTTTAGGAGGGCCTCCTGCATTTTTTCAAAATTCTAGAGGCAAGATAAATTAGTAAATTTTGCATTGAATTCAACAAATTTGGTAGAACAGACCAACCTTTAGTTCCTGCCCTTGTGGCGGGGGTTGATAAGCGCACGCCAATCTGCACGCCATTGCAGAATGGCGTGCAGACTGGCACGCCACTCGCCTGCAGGGGGTATACCCTTCAGGTTGGCGTGCCTGCCTGCAGGCCCAATATGGGTCCTAAACGCATATTTATATGCGTTTAGGACCTGGGCTGTCCCATAGGACCCAGGCATGGGTCCTATGGGACAGGCCAGGTTCTTAACACATATAAATATACGTTTAGGACCTAAAGTTGGGCGTGCAGAAAAGGCACACCAATCTGCAGGGTATACCCCCTGCAAGGAAGGATGGGTTTTCCCCTCTGCACGCCATTCTGCAATGGCGTGCAGGCACGCACACCAATCTGCAGCTGGCGTGCGCGTGGGGGGTTTGCTTGCGCTTATCAACCCCCAATTGAGAGAGATAAGATGGAATTATTCCGAGGAACCCTTTAAGGCCCAAAGATGCTTGATAAGATCATTTTTCAATTGGTGATGAGCTGTCTTGTCACACAATTGCTGATAGTTTTGTACAAAAAGAGAAAAATTAGCCAATTTGCTTTGCCCTGGTACTACAGCTGTACTGGTTTGAGGTTAAATTGGCACTAGGGAAATCTTTGTACAAAGCATCAATGGTGCCACAGAGACGATACGATACGGTATCAGGTGTTTATCTGTATCGTCTCAGAATTGGAATACCCAAAAATACCGGATTTGTGTTGTCTCACTTTCCTGAGACATATACATGTATCGTATTTGAAAAGTGAGAAATGTATTCTGTATCGTCTCAGATGACTGATCCCACCAAACCGTATATGATACATAAGATATTTGGCTGTATTGAAGAAAAAACAAAAAAAACGAAGACGAATTTTTTTTTTTTCATATTTAAATCCAAATCCGATACAATGTATCTTTTCAACAACCCAAGGAAATACTGATACCGGTATCAGGCTCAAAATAGATACGATACGATCCGATACAAATACATGTCTCGTATCTGTGGCACCGTTGAAAGCATCAAACTCCAAGCCCCTTTCATCTCCACAATCACATTGTGGAGGATGATGCAGGCTTTCATGATCTTGTTCAAGTTGAATTGACTCCACCCTTGCGCAGGCTGGCCAACAATGGCGAATCGCGCCTGAAGCACACCCAATACTCTCTCCACATCCTTTAGGAGGGCCTCCTGCATTTTTTCAAAATTCTAGAGGCAAGATAAATTAGTAAATTTTGCATTGAATTCAACAAATCTGGTAGAACAGACCTGCCTGCCTGCACGCCATTCTGCAATGGCGTGCAGGCGCACACGCCAATCTGCAGCTGGCGTGCAGGCGCACACGCCAATCTGCAGCTGGCGTGCAGATTGACGTGCGCCATGGGGGTTGGCGTGCGTTTATCAACCCCCCCTTGTGGCTGCAAAATAGTCTTGACGAGAGCCGCGTAGTCTGGGTATATACATTCAGCGAGGTAGTAACCTTGCTTGTAGGTAGTTCCGTTGATCGTGAACTGGCATCTTGGAGCAATACCATTGAGAAGGTGGGTGAAAAGTGGTGAGACATTCAAAATATTGATATTGTTGTGTGATCCTGGTAGGCCAAAAAAGGCGTGCCAGAACCACAAATCTTGAGATACAACGGCTTTAAGGACAATTGTTGCTTCCTGTTGTAAATCAAATCAAAATTAGATCATAAGATACTGGGAAGAGTGATAAAAGGCAGACCTTCTCTTTTCCTTGATATTGGCCTTTCCAAGCAGCGGGGCAATTTTTCCAACCCCAGTGCATGCAGTCCAAAGACCCAAGCATGCTGGGGAAACCACGTTCTTCATTCATGGCAAGGATTTGCTTCAAGTCATCAGGTGTTGGAGACCTGAGGTATTCTTTGCCATAGACCTCAATAACGGCAGTACAAAATTGAGTCAAGCTTTCGAGAGTTGCACTTTCAGAGATTTGTAGGTACTTGTCGTAGGCATCGGCAGCTCCTCAGTAGGCAAGCATACGTATAGCTGCAGTGATCTTTTGTATTGGTTGCAAGCCAGGCTTGCCCAATGTGTCCTTCTTCTGGACAAAATAGTTATTGTGTGCTTTGATGTCATCGACAATCCTCAAGAATAGCGGTTGGTGCATACAGAATTGTCATCAAAATATTTCCTCCGGAAAGACAGGATCCTTGGCAAAATAATCCCTAAACAAGGTTTGGAAACAGCCCTCAAAATTGCGGCATAGGTTTGGTGCCCTCCCTTTTTGCAAGCTTCCATGCTTTGGTGCAGACTTCTTGGGTGATTCTTCTTCCGCCTGAAGAGTTGCTGTATTGGAGATGACTGTGCATATGATGCTCGATCTTGAGAGTAGAACAGCTTGCCAATTCAGAAGGTTTTCCATGAGATTTTGGCAATCCATGACTGGAAGATTTTCAAAGGAAGAGTAAAGGCATTTGAGTAGAGGAATTAGAGGGATGCCCGGGAGGAACACCAAGCTGGGAAACCAGGTTGAAGATTTTTTTACAGTCCCAACAACCGCCGTTCCAATGGGTGATACACGGGATCTGAACCTTGAATATCCAAAGTGCAGGCTGCACCTGCAAGCTTTACAGCCTCAAAACTACCTCCCCCGCTGGAGATGCTCTAAATAGCCACATGTCACATCTCCCCAACTTGGAGTTGGTTTGAGATTCACGCCTTGCGTATTCCTCATCTTGCAATATACCATCAAGAAACAGAACTCAAGTGATCCCCTCCTCCTCTCCAAAGACAACTCATAACAAAGCAAACAGGGTGGTTATGTATTGCTGGTGGGCCACTATAAATGCATGGTATGGTGAACTATTGTAAAGTGATGCAAATCTCAGGATGTAAACGGGTTGGGTTCGGGCCCAAAAACAGTGCCCAAACCCTGCCCACCACTTGTGTTGGGTCAAACATGAATATATGCTGCCCAGACCCAAACCCATCTTGGGGCTTTTCGGGCTTGGGTTGGCAGCTTGCACGTTGGGTTCAGGCCGACCCGAGTGTTTTAGCCTTTGTAGGGCAACTATGATAAAAACTTACCTGCCCAACTATCAAAACGCCTTCCCAAACCCAACCTGCTAAGCTTCCGGTGTAAGACTCAAAAAGTGGTTGTAAGACCCTTTTTGCTGAATGGAGAAGGGGATGGTGGAGGTGCAAGCTCTGCCCTTCTATACTATCAGATAACAAGACCCACCAAGCTCAGCTTGGCAAGTTTTAATCAAGTGATAGGGTAAGTTCAGGAATGAGTTTGTGTGATGC